ATATATATATATATATATATATATATATATATATATATATATAAATATTTTCTTTGCTCTGGGTGGGTTGTGCTATTTATTGGTGCTGAAGGCCTGGCGTAGAGTAGTCCTCGACTTACGACCGCCGTTGAGCCCAACCTTTCTGTTTTCTTAAGTAAGAAAAGTGGTTTAGTGAGTTTTGTTTTTACAATTTCTCTTGCCAGAGAATTTCTCTTGCCAGAGTTGTTTAAGGGAGGCAAGTTAGTAGGACGGTCGTTAAGTGAATCTGGCCTTCCCCATTGACTTCCCTTGTCGGGAGGTTGCAAACCTTCCCATTGGGACGTGACACCCTTCAGCGACCATAAATACGAGCCACTTGCCTTGCCAAGTGTCTGAAGTTCAATCACATGACTGTGCGGGAAAACAGCCATAAGCCACTTTTCTGAGTGCCGCTGTAAGTCACTATAAACGAATGGTGGTAAGTTGAGGACCAGCTGTATTACTTGGGTGTCTAAAAGGAGGAATGGTGTTTAGAGGAACTTCCAAATTCAGAGGCAGTAACTCTGAAAAATGCCTGTCGTTGAGAAATACGGGGAGTCCTTGACTTACGACCATAGCGGAGGCCATTGCGTCACGAAGCGAGGCAGTTAAGTGAGTTCCACCTGATTTTACAAGCTGTTCTGCCACTGTTGTTAAGTGAATCATGGCAGTTCGGAAGAGAACCACATGGTCGTTAAGTGAATCCGGCTTCCCGTCATTGATTGCTTGTCGGGAGCCGCCCAGGAAGGTTGCAGAGGATCATGTGACCCTGGGATGCTGCGATCGTCGTAAGTGCATGACAGTTGCCAAGTGCCCGAGTTGCAGTCATGTGACTGTAGGGATGTGGGACAGTCGTAAGTGAGATCCCCGGCCTTGTCACTTTTTTCAACGCCGTCGTACCTTAGACGAATGGTTATAAGTCGAGGACTATCTGTCAGAAAGATACACTGCTGTTTTGGTGTGCAGAACTATCCCTTGGACCCCCGCCGAGTCAGAAAAACGGATCTGATCCAGTTTCTCCGGCTTACAGACGTCGGATAGAGAAGCACCAAGAGGGAAACCGAGTCAGACCTATTCTGCATCGTGGAGAGCTCTCGAGTTCCTTACATTCTCTCCCAGTCCAACCAGTTGCATACTGGGTAGGTCGATCATTTAAGACCAGTTTCTCCAGGAGAAATAAATTTTTCTTCCTTCTTTCTTTTTTTCCTTCCTTCCTTCCTTCTTTTTTTTCCTTCCACTCTTCTTTTCTTTCTTCTCTCTGTCTTTCCCTTTCTTTCCTTTGATCTTTCTTTCTTTTTCTTTCTTCTTTCTTCCTTCCTTCCTCTCTTTCTCTCCTTCCTCCCCTTCCTTTTTTCTCTTTTCTTTCTTTCTTCTTTCCTTTCCTTTGTACTCTTTCTCTTTCCTTCCTTTGGTTTTGTTTCTTTCCCTTCCTTCCTTTCTTTTTCTTTCTCTTTCTTTCCTTCCTTCTTTTCTTCCTACCTTTTTCTCTCTCCTTCCTTCCTTTCTTTTTTCTTCCTTCCCTTCTTCCTTCTGTCTCTCCCTTTCCTTCCTTTGATCTATCTCTTTCCTTTCTTTTTCCTTCCTTCCTCTTTTTCTTTTTTTTTCTTCCTTTCTTTTCTCTCTCGTTCTTCTTTCTCTGTTTTTTTCTTTTGCTTTCTTTCTTCTCTGTCTCCCTCTTTTTCCTTCCTTTCATCTATCTTTCCTCTTCCTTAAAATTTAATCCAGTTGAAGTGATCCAGTCTTCAGGCAACCTTCCTCTTCCTCCTTTCCTTCTCTTTTTCCCTTCCCCTCCCTTCACCCTCGTCCTTTTCCTCCCTCCCCCTTTCATTCCTTCCTTTCTCCTTCTCTCTCTCCCTTCCACTTTTCCATCCATCCTTCCTTGCCTTCTCTCCTTTGTTCATCCCAGCTTACGCCAGTAAAAACTCCACTGTTTCTAGGGCCCTTTGCAACTTCAGCCCGTCACTAAACGAATTGTTGTAAGTCGAGGATTCGGTGTAATGGAATGTAACAGGGCTATCAGCACTGCTTGGTAAAAGCATCTCCTGTGCGGAGTCTGAGAAGCTTATCTCCCCACGTACAATGGTTGCAACTGCTGAAAAAGAAAAAGAAAAAATAACTTTGCAATTAATTCTTTGGCAGATTGTCTACTCCAGCCAGCCTCCTGCAGTGTCTTTTTCCTGCTTTTATCTCTGTCCTTCCTTTGTTTATTCTGATTTTATACAGTTCCTCTCCTTGTTCCCGATTTCCTCCCTTCGGTCTATTTATCTCTTCTGGCTTTGCTTGTCCGAATTCGGAGCTTATGCTGCCTCCCACATCTGACCTCACAGGTAGTCCTCAACTTACAACGGTTCGTTTAGTGACTATGTTATAATGGCACTGAGAAAAAGAGACTCAGGACCATTTTTCACGCGTACAACCGTTTCAACATTCCCATGATCATGTGATCAAAATTCAGACGCTTGGCAACTGTCCCAATTTTATGACGGTTGCAGTGTCCCTGGTCACATTTTGCGCCCTTCTGACAGGCAAAGTTATAGAAGAAGCCAGATTCACTTAACAACTGTGGCAAGGAAGGTCGTAAAATGGGGCAAAACTCACTTAACAAATGTCTCACTTAACAACAGAAATTTTGAGCTCCGTGGTGGTCATAAGTTGAGGACTAATTGTACCGGCTCTTAATTTTTCAACCTGAAATCCAGCCAATCATCTTTTAAGACTAGAAGTTTTAGACTTTTTAAGTCCTGTGGAATCCAAGGCAAACTCTGAAAATGATTTTACGGTTCGATTCCAAAGGGCACATTTTTGAAAATATTTTTTAAATTATTATTTTTTAGAAAACCTAGTTAGTCCTCACCAGCACAACTGGGGCCAGAATTTAGGTTGCTAAGCAGGATGATTGTTAAGTGTTTCACGCCTGATTTTACTGCAGTTGTTAAGTGAAATATGTGGTCATTAAGTGAACCCGACATCCCATATCTTGAATTAGAGATAGTCCTCAAATTATGACCACAGTTGTGACCCAAATTTCCATTGCTAAGTGAGATGGTTGTTAAGTGAGTTTCGCTCCATTTTATGTCCTTTCTTGCTACCGTTGTTAAGTGAATCACTGTAGTTGAGTTAGCCACACAGTTGTTAAGTGAATCTGTCTTCCCCGTTGATTGCTTATCGGAAGGTCACAATAAGGGAATGGCGTGATCTCAGGACACCGCGACCGTCATAAATATGGGTCAGTTGCCAAGCTTCTGAATTTTGATCCACGTGGCTTTGGAAATGCTGTAACAGTCATTAAGTGTGAAAAATGGTCATAAGTCACTTTTTTCAATGCTGTTGTAACTTCAAACAGTTACTAAACAAATGGTCGTAAGTTGAGGACTATTTGTAACCACAAATTAGTCTTCAATTGCAGGTTGGCCTAATTTGGTGCCTGGCATCTTGCCAACCCATATAGTTTCTCTGACTTATTTATTTTTATTTCATTTATTCCTTGTCCCTTTATCATTTTTTTCATAAATAACTGGAGGTGGCCAATTACAGGTAGTCCTCGACTTACAGCAATTTGCTTAGTGACCGTTCGAAGTTGCAACGGCACTGAAAAGAGTTACCATTTTTCATACTTACAGCATCCCCATGGTCACATGACTTACATTTGACGCTCGACAACTGGTTCACATTTATGACGGCTGCAGTGGCCTGGGGTCACATGATCCCCTTTTGTGACCTTCTAATAAGCGAAGTCAATGGGGAAAACCAGATTCAGTTAACAACCGTGTTACTCATTTAACAACTGCAGTGATTCACTTAACCAACGTGGCGAGAAAAATCGTAAAATGGGGCAAGGCTCACTTAACAAGTTTCTTGCTTAACAACATAAATTTTGGGCTCATTTGCGGTCATTAAGTTGAGGACTACCTGTACTCTTTTTTTTTTTCCTGGCTATTTTACGCACAGCAACAATTCTACAAGATTGAGAGAGAGAGAGGGACTGGCCCAAAGTCATCCAGTTGCGTTTTGTTCCTAAGCTGGGACTAGAACTCCCAGTCTCCTGGTGATTGACCCAGAGTCACCTAGCTGGATTTCATGCCTAAGGCGGGACTAGAATTCCAGTCTCCTGGTGATTGGCCCAAAGTCACCTAGCTGGATTTCATGCCTAAGGCGGGACTAGAACTCCCAGTCTCCTGGTGATTGGCCCAAAGTCACCTAGCTGGATTTCATGCCTAAGGCGGGACTAGAACTCCCAGTCTCCTGGTGATTGGCCCAAAGTCACCTAGCTGGATTTCATGCCTAAGGCGGGACTAGAACTCCCAGTCTCCTGGTGATTGGCCCAAAGTCACCTAGCTGGATTTCATGCCTAAGGCGGGACTAGAACTCCCAGTCTCCTGGTGATTGGCCCAAAGTCACCCAGGGACATGCAACAAAGTCACCTACAGGATTTGTTGATAATCTGGTACCAGCTACGGAGGGAGGAAAGCACAACTAAGAGGTTGGTTGAATCATAGAATCCTGGAGCTGGAAGGGACCTTGGAGGTCATCTAGTCCAACCCCCTGCTCAAGCAGGGGAGACCCTATACCATTTCATACAGGTGGGCTGTCCGGTCACTTCTTAAAAACCTCCAGGGATGGAGCACCCACAATTTCTGGAGGGAAGTCCTTCCATTGATTAATTGTTCTCGCTGTCAGATAAGACTTACTGGGTGCCAGGAAAAAGAGGTGGCAGCTGCTTTAATGAGCCTCCTCCTCCAGCTGAATCGTGGCTTGAGTAAACTCCCTTTTTATAACACCGTAATTCCTCAATTCCAGCAAAGCGGCTGCGCTCGCTGGCGTGGCTTCCAAAATCTTTTTTCCCATTTTTTTTTTTTTTTTTTACAAACGATGCAGGGTCCCAAATCGCCCCTTATCATTTGGCAGGCCTCCCCTGTTCCCGAAGGAGTTTCCCCCCCCCCACCCCCTCGGCAGTCCAGCCACCCAAAAAATGCAACTTCTAAATCCATTACAAAAGAAGCAGAGCCAAATCTTGAAGGAAACCCTTTGTCTTTTGTTTGCAAAAGGACAGATAGATGTGTGTGTGTCTTTGTTACCATGCAGAATTCCAGACATCCTGCTCCGGTCAGTTTCAAGTCTTTTTTCTTTTCTTTTCTTTTCTTTTTTCTTGATCTGCTGAACACCAGGTACATCCATCACCAGGTGCACGGTGGGGTTTCCTCCGGACCAAAGTTTTGGCTTTGTTCAAATCTCTGTCTGGTTTTTCAGTGTTTCCTTTTCCCCCAAAAGGTTTTCACTCACAGCTTTGCCTGGACACGTGCTCCCCATATGGTTCTCATTAGTCATGCCTTCCGTCCTTCAAATCCGTTACCAGGGCCCAGACTGGCAGGCTTAATTTTTGAGCTTAGTGGAAGGGAAGTAAAAAGCAGAAAGTTAAGCAGAGGGATTTTAAGGAGGGTTTAAGAAAGGGAGTTTGGATTCTTTTTCTTTCTTTCTTTTTCTTTTCTTTCTTTCTTTCTCTTTCTTTCTTTTCTTTCTTCCCTAAGTCTTGTTCATCTTTTTTCTTCTTTCTTTCCTTTTTTCCTTTTTTTCTTTCCTTCCTCAGTTGTTCATTTTTCTTTTCTTTCTTTTTCCTTTTCTTTTTCCTTTCATCTTTTTCTTTCTCCTTCCTTTCCTTCCCCCTTTCCTCCCCCCCCTTCTCTTTCCCATTTTCAGCCAAACCAATTCATGAATTAAGTCTTAAAGCCAGCCACCTCCCTTTTCTCCCTCCCTCCCCCCTCCTCTCTTTTGATTGACACATTGAGCAAATCCCTCTTGGAAATGCTGTGATTTGGAGGCTGTTCTGGATTGATGCCTTTAGCTGTTTGCAGAAAAGTGAGGAGGGGGAGAAGGGCTGCCTTGCTGTCAGAAAGGCGGAGTTGAACAGGATGCGTTTAAAAGTTTGCCTGAAAGTTTGCCTTCCAAACTGGCAGAGGATTCGGTTTTTTGCAAAGCATTGTGTGTTTTTTTATTTTTTGATGGGGAAGCACATTTTCCATGCAGGTTTCTCTTCTTGAAGAAACATCTGCTGAAGCATCATTTCTCTGTGAGTACCCGGTTTGTATTAATTTATATATATATATATATATTTTAAAAACTGTTCTGCAGTTCTTATAATTGCCTTAGATTCTGAAGCTCACCTTTCACAGAGCACAGGGGTATCATGGAATTGGTGGGTTCAACATAATTCCCCCCCACTCAAAGAAAGCAAAGTCTTGTGGCTTAAAAAACTGCCATTCACCAACTTAACAACAGTTGGTGAATTGCAATTGCATTCAGTCTGTCAAAAACAGTACTCCGAAAGCACAGCTTTCAGAGTATTGCAATATTTTTCTTTTTGCTAATGTGAAATCCTTAAAAGACTCTTCTGAGATCCTCTCTTCATCCAGGATGAAGCTGCTTGAACAAAGTTGGATGAGGAAATGCATGCCTTGGAAATACCTTATTTTCTAGCACGATTCTTGCTTCCTTTGCTTTCTATCATCCAATATCTTTGCTTAGCTCAGTTTCTGGATATTTCCAAATGGAAGAGTCCCAGCGTCCATTAAAAAATTCTAGAGCAATGAACTAATTTTTTTTTTTTTAAAAAAAGAGCCCTATGATTCTATAAATAAGGAAGGAGAAAGACAGAAGGGAGGGAAAACTTCTTTGCATTTTCTTGCTCTTCTCTTTCTCTTTCTAGAAAAGATCTCAACATCTTTTTTATATCTGGATCCCGTATTCCAAGTGTGGTCTTACTAAGGCCTTATAAAGTGGAATTAACACTTCACGTGGTCTTGATTCTATCTCCCTGTTAATGTAGTTTAAGATTGCATTGGCTTTTTTGGCTGCTGCAGCACACAGCTGGCTCATCTTTAAACGATTGTCCACGAAAACTTCCCCTCTTGCAGTTAGTGCTTTTGAGCTAGGCACCACCTGTGCTATACCTGTGCATTTGGTTTTTCTTGCCTAAATGTAGAACCTTCCTTTTTTCACCATTGAGTTTTCATTTTGTTAGATAGGGCCCAATGTTCAAGTCTGTCAAGATCCTTCTGTATCTTGAGCCTGTCTTCTGGATAGGTTGGCTCTTACTTCCAGCTTGGTGTCATCTGCAAATTTGATGAGTTCCCCATCTATCCCCTCGTCCAAGTCATTGATGAAGATGTTGGAGAGCACTGGGCCTAAAACAGAGCCCTGGGGTTCCCCATTGCATAACTTCCCTCCATGTAGATGCAGTTCCATTGAGGACTATACGTTGAGTGCAGTTGGTCAGCCAGTTACGAATCCATCTGGTGGCGATGCCCGCTCGTTGGACTCTCCGTCCATTCGCCTGCTTAGTTTAGCAGGCATTGTGTTGAAGTGTGCGTCTTTTTGACACGCTGTTTGCATTGTTGTTGCAAGCTGCTTTCTATTTCTTTTCATTATTATAATTATGAGAAGCAATGTATAAATGAACGATGGGTGTTATTGTATCATTTAGTGTTACAGGTAGGGTAAATACTACAGCTTATGACCGTAATTGGGAGCAGAATTTCGGTTGTCAAGAAAGGCAGTTAGTTGTTAAGTGAGTCGTGCCCAATTTCACGACCTTCATGCCACGGTTGTTAAGTGATTCGCATGGTCGTTAAGCAAATCCAGATGCCCCCATTGACTTTGCTCGCCGGAAAGCTGCTGAGAAATTCGCAAATGGTGATCATGTGAGCTGAAGGCACCACAACTGTCATACATACATATCGGTTGCCAAGTGTCCGAATTTTGATCACGTGACCTTGGGGATGCGGTCTGATGGACATAAGCTCGAGTTCCGTTTGTAGCTCCCCTTTTCAGGGCTGTTATAACTTTGAATAGTTGCTAAATGAATGACTGTAAGTTGAGGGATGCTTGTACTGAGTATCTGAATTACCCCGGTGGTGAACCATACAGCACATCTCAGGCCCTCCACTGACTCCATGGAGGTACATAAGATTCGGGATGTTTTCTTCAACCTTCCCCTTCACTGTTCATCAACCTGCTGGTCTCCCATCCAAACTCCCACCAGGTCCCATTCTGCTTAGCTTTCCAAGGTCACACACAACTGGTGAAATGTTGCCACCTGTCGGCATAATTAGGATGCGCTAAAAACAAAAAAGCTGTTGAAGGCGAACATGTGTCCCAGGATAATGTTGCAGGATCCAATCTGGGTCAGTCACCGGGACCAGAGATTTAATCTTCAGAGCTTTCAGACTCATGATGGAGACCATCCTGAGGAAACTTCTCTCTAGCAGTAGGTGTGCTTTATGTAGTGTCTGGTTCTGTGTGGCTTTTTAGTTGTTGACTGGGGTGTTGATGGCCGGCTGTTAAGTCCTTGACTATTGTTTTCTTTTGCTGCCAAGCCCTCGGCTCCTAAGTACCTGATAAGCTGGTGGCAAATCAGCATTCCTGTTGTCAGTCAAGTCGCCTGTTTCCCAGGCTTCAATCATTTCCCTGGCTGTTTTTGTACCTGCTCAGCCAACAATCTTAGTAGATGTGAAAACGAATGTATGTCCTTTTTTTTTGAGCAGCTGTGGACTTGGTAGTCCAAGGAAATAACAGCCAATGACTTAATAACTGGCCATCAACCCCCCCAATCAGCAACTGAAAGGCCACACATAACCAGGCACCACATAAATATTACTCATACGATAACCCAAAGGTGAGAGAAGTTCCCTCAGGATGGGCTGAAAGCTCGGTATGATAAAACTTCTGGTCCTAGTGACCGACCCAGATTGGATCCTGCAAAAAAGCCATTGATCACAGCAAAGCATTGAGTTGTAATTAACTTTAACCTGGCACCGGACTGTGATTAAAGTAGTCCTCCCAGGTGGATATATTTGGGGCACACTGTATGGGGCTGAAGGATTTTGCACAGAGGGGGACGGGGAAGAAAAAGAAGAAAGGGAAGGAGTAGAGTGAAAAAGAAGGAAGGGAGGGGAGGAGAGGAAGGGAAAGGTGGGGAGAGGGGAAGTTTACATTGTATATAAATAGAGCAAATCCCACTCTCTTCTAGCACTGAGGATGTTACCTAGTTGGGTCATGAAATGTCTGCAAGAACACCGTCAAACTCAGGGAGCACCAACACCCCACATTCCTCCTCTTCCTCCCTGCAAACGCCCCTCCCTTTTAACACTGATAATGTTACCTAGTTGGGTCATGAAATGTCTTCAACAAAACAACTAACTCAGAGACCACCAAGGACTGCACAGAATGAATGAATGATTCAACGAACGAACGAACGAACGAATGAATGAATGATTCAATGAAGGAAGGAAGGAACAAATTCGTATATTCCCATCTCTCTGCTTTTATCTTACAGGCCGTAAATGATCAGCCCCTATGACCAACATGAGCTGGAGTTTCCTCACCCGCCTGCTGGAAGAAATTCACAACCACTCCACTTTTGTGGGGAAGATCTGGTTGACTGTTCTCATCGTCTTCCGCATAGTCCTGACGGCCGTGGGTGGCGAGTCCATCTACTCGGACGAGCAAAGCAAGTTCACCTGTAACACCAAACAGCCGGGCTGCGACAACGTCTGCTACGATGCCTTCGCCCCGCTTTCTCACGTCCGCTTCTGGGTCTTCCAGATCATCATGATCTCCACCCCGTCCGTCATCTACTTGGGTTACGCCATCCACCGGATCGCCAGATCTTCGGAGGAGGAGAAGAAGAGATTTCGGAGCTTCAAAAAGAAGAAGAAGCAGTTCGTCCTCAACTGGCAGGCGTCCCACCATTTGGAGGACTCATTGGGCGCCGAAGAAGAACCTATGATCTCTGAGGAGATGGCGGAGAACGAAGAGAAGGAGAAGACCAAGGAAGAGGAGAAGAAGAAGGGGCAGAAACATGATGGACGGAGACATATCCAAGAAGAAGGGCTGATGAAGATCTATGTCTTCCAGCTTCTCACCAGGGCCTCCTTGGAAGTCTGTTTCCTCATAGGTCAATACATGCTCTACGGTTTCGAGGTGAGGCCCTACTATCTTTGCACCCGTGACCCCTGTCCCCACAACGTCGACTGCTTTGTGTCCAGGCCCACGGAGAAGACCATCTTCCTTCTGGTGATGTACGTAGTCAGCTGCCTTTGTCTGTTGCTCAACTTGGCGGAGATGTGCCATCTGGGCATCGGTACCATCCGGGACGCCATTCGTGAGCGGAAAATCCACAGCTTCCGACAGCCGCCGTACAATTACGCCGCCTACCCCAAGAACATCTCCTGCCCACCCGAGTACAACTTGGTGGTCAAGTCGGACAAACCGGCCAAGATCCCCAACAGTCTGATGGCCCACGAGCAGAACCTAGCCAACGTAGTCCAGGAGCAGCAGTGCACCAGCCCCGATGATAACATCCCTCCCGATTTGTCGACCCTCCATAAACACTTACGGGTGGCTCAGGAGCAGCTGGACATCGCGTTCCAGAGCTACAACAGCACTCAGGGGCACAGCCAGCCCTCCAGAACCAGCAGCCCGGGCTCCAGTGGATCCATGACAGAGCAGAACCGGGCCAACATTGCGCAGGAGAAACATGGGGCCAAGCCAAAAACCAGTTCAGAGAAGGGTAGCGTCAACGGCAAAGATGGGAAAAACTCCGTATGGATTTAGGAAGGAGGAACAGGTCAAAGGGTCCTTTGCATCAGGAGGTGGTGTGGGTCTCTTCTTTGCATATGAGAACAAGGCTAAAGTGAGACACCAACTGGTAGTCCACCAGAGGCCTTTTCTTAATCCCTTGCTTGGTTGATCCCATCTTTCATTTTCTGGGTAAAAGCAGAATATTTGCGCTAGAAGTCCGCGCGAGACAGATCCATCTTTGAGGTTTAGCGTTGTTCTTCCAGGGAAGATTCAAACCAGGTGCTGATGGCCAAGATGGATCCTTTGACTCGAGGCTCCAGAGACCAGAAGAAACAGAATTAAATTCCTGTCGATAAAACTTTGGCCCCCAAAGCCCAATTTCTCAACCTGCCTTGACGGTTGGGGAATCTCAGGTATAATCCCCCTTTTGAAACAGGTAGCATTTATCGCGTTATCCTTTGTTTCTTATCCTCCTTGCTTGTCCGACTCTTCCATTTCTTCCTTCTGACAAGCTGCCTTTTTAAAAAATTAACGAACCAACTCATTTCTCATTTTATTTTGACTTTTGCTTCCTACCCAGACAGGATGGGTTCTCCTAACTTGGTGCCTGCCAAATAATCTAGTTTATGAGTAATTTCTTTTGAGGTTAGGGCAGACGTGGGCTGGAGAAGGGTGCCTTGGAGGGTTTTTAAATCTTTTTACCACTTTTCTGTCTCTCCTGCCCTCTGATTGTGGTAAGACGGGAACGTCCGTTGTTCATGAAAAAAAACCACCACGCGTGGATGGTGGCCTGCCGTAGACCTCTTCTGTTGGGGGTTTTCCTCCCATGCTAAGCAATTGTGGGGCTGAACCATGTTGTCTGTTCCTTGGTGGATGGAAGATTTCTTTTGAGGGTCAAATAATCCCAAACTGAATTCATTTCCAGGTCCTTGGAGGAATGGCAACATCTGGAGATGTTCCCAAAATGTTGTAGTTCTGAATCGCGGGCTGTATCCAGCAAAGGATAGGGTTTTAAAATGGAAAAATTATGTAAACATCACTAGAGATACACTAACCTGCGACTTTGGCAGTATGGTTCACTGCAAAATGGTTTCTGGAAAGCAAATTTGGTCTTCTCCAAGAAAATGGAGCCTTTCTTAGAGCCTCCAAGAAAGTGGAGCTGTACGAGAGAAGGGAGATCTGAAGCCAGTTTCTGGGTCAGCTACACTGTGCATTTGGGGATGGATGGCATTTTATTTTTATTTTATTTTTCCTTCTCTGCAACTACCTTGAGAAATGAGTTCCAGGAGATACGAAGGATGTTTCATGAAGGATTGTGCCCTGTCAAAGGTTGCAGAGTGAGGAAAATGAATTTAGTCACTGAAAAGCAGTTTTTTTTCAACCTTGGCTGCTTGAAGATGGTGGAGTTCAACTCCCAGAATTCCCCAGCCAGCAAGAGAACAATAGAAAACATCTTCACTGAACCTTTGTGGAGAGAGATTAGTGCTAAAATAAGATGACCAGGGCTTGATTTGGACAAGACAGTGAATCAGATGTCCTCGCATTACGCTGAGGAGAAAATGAACCCCCAAGATGCTGGTGGTAGTGAAACATTACATCTATTCAGAAGCTTGGAGATGTTGTATGGAGATATGGTGCTTCTCTAAATACCTGCCTATTTCATTCTTCCGTATGACTTTACAAATGTCATATATAGCCTAAGAAGAGCTGGGATCCTTCAGACCAATATTCCATTAGTCTAGTCTTCTAGCCAGATATCCTGGGCAGGTTCTCCTCTGTGGCTGACATAAATATTATGACTCGTAATAACCGAGAAGTCTAAATGAAATCAAGATTTCCTCTTGATGACTTCATGCGGGCATGTAGAGTAGTATTCCTCAAACTTGTTAGCTTGAAGATGCGTGGACTTCAATACCTGGAATTTCTGCAGCTGGAGAATTCTGGGCGTTGAAGTCCACTCATAGTGGCTGGAGAATTCTAGAACTTGGAAGTCCATGTGTGTTAAACGTTGCTGAGCTTCAGAAACAAGTGATGGAAAGAATAAGGAAGGTGTCGTGGAAAGAGTGCAAGAAGATAATGCGCAAGCAATTCAGATACCTCCTTAATTCAAATGTGTGTAAGGGTAGAGTTCTTACACTTTCCCTACAAAGTGGGTTCATGTTAGGCCAGTATTTCTGAACCTTAGCAATGTGAAGGCTTGCGGACGTCAACTCCCAGAATTCCTGACCCTGGCTGGGGAATTCTGGGAGTTGAAGTCCACACCTCTTCAAGCTGTCAAGATTGAGAAACATACTGATCTGGAAATAGATTTCTTGAGTATAATTCAGATACTGTTTGCTACTGTTTTCTTCCAGAATGTTTTGTGTCTCCTTGTCTAGCCACCTGAGGGGTTTTACAGCTTCCATTTTAAGTCCTCCATAACGAAGTCTGATCCTGCTTAGCTCTTGAAATCACCCAAGAGAGACTTACTGGTAATACTGTTTATTCAATCTCCATAAACCTACCTGCTCCTAACATCTCTAAGGCCAATAAAGCCCTTCTGCATTGAAGTCCTCCAGAAGCGTTAAGTTTATGTCAACTGGGAATTATGGACCTTGAGGCCTAGGCAGGAGGTTGGATTAAAAGACCACAACAGTCCTTTCCAACCCTATTATTCCATGTTGGGGGGAAAGAGCCTTAACGTTACTTTTATCCACTGCCAAAGCACAGGTCTCCATTTTCATTCCATGAATTTGTATATTGTACAGAATTAGCCCTCCAGATTGGTGTCGTTGACCTTCACCAGGAATGGAAAATGGTTGCAAGCATCGATCAGTTGCAGAGGGGAGTCTTCAAGATGTCTTTATGGAGTCCACGGTTTCATGTGTTTCATGTACATAACATGAAGTATCAGTCCTGAACCCCATTTGGTAATTTCCAGAAGATTCCACTAACTTGTAGACCATCAACTTGCATCGTGAGATCTATTGAACATCTCCGGTACGATAAGAAGCTAAGTGGCTTTAAGAAGATAAATCTGGTTTGTTGTTACGAATCTATCTAAAGCTCACTTCAAGGGAGAATAAGAAGGTTCAGACAAATGAGAATTAATTTTTGAAGGAAAAATACTTTCTTCCAATGGAACGAAGAAAAATCTATGTTTACAACACTGCGATGGACAGAAAGAGATCTCTTTCACCCTTACTCATCCCAAAATGAAGATTTAGCAGTGGAGAATTATCTTTAAAATTATTTTGGAAACACTGTTTTTGATGTCAGGTTTGAGAAACAAGCATCTGATGGGAGGTCTTGTTTTCAAAAAAAATAATTCAGCTTTGCCTAAATTGGTCCTGGATTAAAATCATAATTCAAAACAAGCCTATGTTTATGGACAAAAAACAGAACTGTTTAAAATAGGTGGTTCACGGGTCCATTTTGTGAGGGGCCAAAACCCCAATTCTACAATTAAATTTGCCGGGCTGATCAGGATTGTAGGATTGAAAAGAGACCACTGGGAGATCAACGTAGTGACGGTATTTTTTAAAAAATGACACAATTTATAGTGAAGGCAATGCTGTCTTCTTAACTTAGCTCCTTTCTTTTTCTTCATTGATTATCTGATGATGTCCTTCACAAAAAGTCTTGAAGAAAAGGCCATGTTGGTGGAATTAAGTGAATAATTAGTTCAAAAATATTTTTTTAAAAAACCAGGATCCTTTTGTTTAAGGAAGTGTGTACAAATCAGCATTGTGTTTGTTTAGATTGGGATGGCAAGGTAAAAAAAATATGTAATTTTTGGCCGTGTATAGATCAATACGTCCAGAGTCACGTTGAACCGTGAGATGGGCAGCAAATAAATTGGATAATAATATAATAATACACACCAAATAATTCAATTCCTGTGTTCTGTTATCCTGAATCTTTAGCTGTTAAAAAAGAGTTTTATACCCAATGCATGGGAAAACATCATATGTCAGAAGACAGAACCAACGTTGTTTTTAAGACTCTTCTTATATACCTGCAGTATTAAAAAAAAAAGGAAATTACCAAAAGATTAATCTATAATGCAAAAAAAAAAAAGAGAGAGAGAGCTTTTTTAACAGTTAACTGTTCCAGTCAGCAGTTGTGCTCCCCAGACTGTAAGGATTTTAATCTGGATGTGGTGGTTTTGAGATACCAGCATCTTTCCTCCATCCTTTGGCAGAGAAAACACTTACCACTCTTCTCTTTTGACAACCGCACAACCAAAGCCTACATACACACTGCCGTTCGCGTTCCATTCCGCTGGGAAATACTTGAAATTAACTAAATAGCCATAACAAATCTATGCTGTTAACAGAGTTTTGACCTCTTTTATTATTTTTCTTAAGTCTTTTTTCTTGTACATTTTCCTCATTTGCCAGTTGTGTAAAAAACCCATTTTGGCTGCGTTCGCACGACATATTTAAACAGTTATAGAAAGTGGCTGTGTTGACACCTGCTTAAATTTGCCAACATGAACTTAAGAGGAATTCTCCTAGTTTTGAAGTGTGGAAATCCACCTGGTGAGATTAAAAATTCTAAGAATTATTATCTTGAGCTGAGAAAAATGGATGAATTTGTCATATTAAATCTTTTGTGCGAACGCAGCCAGAAAGTATGTTGTCGATCCCTAATATGTTTCATTGTAAAAGCTATTTACAAGTTGTACATGGAATAATTACTTACAAACAGTAAACACTTTTGGATGTTTCAGTGTTCAGCACTAATAAAAATGGAACAAAATGTTCCTTTTGTTTCATCATATTCCAGATGTGGTGGTGCATTTATTTAGGGGAAAGGTGTTACTAAGTGTTGCATAGAATCAGGTTTCCAAAACTTTGTTGATTTACTGCATCTTGAGTGTCTCAGTAATTTTTTTCATGCTGCCCCAAAAGAAATAACTAGCAATTTCAACAGAAATAAGAATAAAAATGGAAAGTAACAAGATTTTCATTTCATTCTTGAATAGCCACAACTGCTAAGATATAAAAGAGTTAGTTAGGAGCCTTGGTAGTACAGTGGTTAATGCACCCTGTAATTAACACAGCTGCCTGCAATTTCTGCAGGTTCGAATCTTACCAGGCTCAAGGTTGACTCAGCCTTCCATCCTTTCTAAGGTAGGTTAAATGAGGACCCAGTTTGTGGGGGCAATAAGCTGACTTTGTATAAATATACAAAAGTATGAAGGCTATTGCTTAACGCATTGTAAGCCGCCCTGAGTCTCCGGAGAAGGGCGGCATATAAATCAAATTTAAAAAAAAAAATAGTTAGATGGTGGATTGGATGGATAGGTAGGTAGATGATTAGAGAGAGAGAGAGAGAGATGGATGGATGGATGGATGGATGGGATAGACAGACACAGACGGATGGATGGGTGAGCCATGGTGGTGCAATGGTTAGAATGCAGCATTGCAGGCTAACCCTGCTGACTGCAAGCAGTTTGATCCTGACCAGCTCAAGGTTGATTCTGACTTCTATCCTTCCAATCCTCAGTAAAATGAGGATCCAGATTGTTAGGTACAATATGCTGTAAACCACTTCATAATGCATAATAAAGCACTATGGAACAGTATATAAGTGTAAGTGCTACTGATATGCAACTCTGGAATCAGAGTGGACACCCCCATTCACTCTACAGGTAGTCCTCAACTTATGACCACAGTTGGGATCAGACTTTCCATTGCTAAGCACGCAAAGGGTCACGGCCATTTTACAACCTTTTGCAGCTTTGTTGATAAGCGAATCCCCATAGTTATTAAGTGACTCATGTGGTGTTTAAGTAAATCAGGGTCCCTCCATTAACTTTGCTTGTTGGAAGCCAGCTCGGAAAGTTGCAAATGGAGATCCTATGATCCTGAGACACTACAACCATTGTAAATAATGCTGGTTGCCAAGTACCTAGATTTTGATCACATGACTGTGGGGATGGTGCAATGGTCATCACTCAGTGTCGGCCATAAATCATTTTGGAGTGCTGTTGTGACTTTGAGCAGTCACTGTTCATTTTATCAGAGCAATTGCCGAAAAGCAAGCTTGGCCAAGATAAAGACGCTCTGAACAAAAATTTAAAATATCTCTGGTGCCAAAAAAAACCCCACCTTGCTGGGTTTGAGTTTTCCTGTTAATGGAAATTCAGTTTCAACCTTAGCAACTTGGCTGGGAAATCCTGGGATATGAACTGCACAATTCTTAAAGTTGCCAAGGTTGCCCAGCCCTGCTGTAGAAGGAAAAAAAATGCATAGGATTAATTCTCACAGCTTCCTTGCATCCCCCCACCATCCAGTCAGAGCTGAGGAAGCTTCCGTGGGTAAGAAGCGAAACGTCTTCGAAAAAAAGCCAGAAAGTCCACTTGCCTCTTGGAAAAAAGCATCTTTGGGACCTGTCTGAATTCTGCACAAAGCACTGTAAGGAAAGACAAATTGTCTGTGTACAGATAGTCCTTACGACCACAACTGAGCCCAAAATTTATGTTGCTAAGTGAGACATTTGTTGTGAGTTTCACTTCAATTTCTGAGCTTTAAGAACTGACCCAACAGTTCTTAAGTGAATCACTGCAGTTGTTAAGTTAGTAACGGTTGTTAAGTTAATTGGGCTTCCCGATTGGCTTTGCTTGTCAGGTCACAAAATTGGGATCACATGACCTTGCGACAGAGAAACCATCATAAATATGAACCAGTTGCCAAGCTGTCTGAATTTTGATCCGCGTGACCATGGGGATGCTGCAATGGTCATAAGTGTGAAAAACAGTCATAAGTCACTTTCTTCAGTACTGTTGTAACTTCAAATGGTCATTAAATGAACTGTTGTAAGTTGAGGACTAGTTGTAGATTCTCAGCCATCCAGGTTGCGTTGTCTCAAAGATGCTTTCCAAAAGGCAACTGAACTTTTTTTCCTCTTGAAGACGTTTCACTTCCCACCCAAGGAGCTTCATCAGTTCTGATTGGATGATGGAGGGGATGGAAAGATGCTGTTAGAACTAATCCTTTCACACACACGTACACCATCCATTCAGAACTGAAGAAGATTCTTGGATGAGAAGTGAAACGTCTTCAAGGGAAAACAAAAGTCCAGTTGCCTATCGAAAAACCACCAGGGCTGCCACAAAGAGGGAGTCAAACTATTCTCCAAAGCACCTGAGGGTAGAACAAGGAACAATGGATTGAAACTACCCTGTTTCCCCCAAAATAAGACATCCCCTAATAATAAGCCCAATCGGGCTTTTGAGCACATGGCAATAAGGCCAAGCGCTTATTTCAGAGTTCAAAAAAATATAAGGGTCTTATTTTCAGGGAAACACGGTAATCAAGGAGAAGCAATCTAGAACGAAGGAGAAATTTCCTGAGAGTTACAAGAATTTATCAGTGGAACAATTTGGCTCCAGAAGTTGTGAATTCTCTAATACTGGAAGTTTTTAAGAAGATTTTGGACAGCCATTTTTCTAAAATGGTGTAGGGTTTCCTGCCTAAGCAGGGAGTTGGACTAGAAGACATCCAAAGTCCCTTCCATCTCTTATACAATTCTACCTTTTGTTTGGGACAACCATAACTTGGGACCGCTCAGAATCTCCATAGACATTTCATTTTCACTGTCATGTATTCGAAAAGATCACCTGATTTTTTAAAAACATAAATGGATGCTGTGCTTCAATGACATAGGTATTTGAACATGATATTTCTCACATTTGAGTTTGGTACGTTTTACTAAACCAGGTGAAATGATAATGTATATAGTTAGTCCCTATATGATGCCATACGCCAGTGCTTCTCAACCTTGGTAGCTTGAAGATGGGTGGACTTGACCTCCATGATCCCCCAAGCCAGCGCTGTTGGCGGGGGCGACCTGGGAGTTGAAGTCCACCCATCTTCAAGCTTCCAAGGTTGAGAAACACTGCCATACGCTTAAATAAGTCTTTGGAATAAAGGCCCCAAGTCGCTTCCGCATTCAGCACGTGGATCGCAGAGGCCGGAAGGACCGCTCGGCCAATGATGAGCCACTTTCGGAGCTCGGCCCCGCCCCTTTACGTCCGTTGGCCAAGAAGGAAGAGCTAGAGGCCTCTGCGCTTGCGCACTTGACTAAAGCCGCCTCACGCCCTTTCGCTCCACCCTCGACCATACACAAGATGGCGGCGCCGAGGTCTTTTCCAGGTTCTTGGTCGCTCTCCGCCAGGCCGCCATGCTGGTGAGGGCGATCGCGGCGCTGCGGCGGGGCCTCCCGAGAAATTTGCACTCGGGCGGCGGCGACGTAAGAGCGACCGCCGTTTGCTTCCCGTTGAGCCACCGCGCGCTAATCCGCTTGCAAGGCCCCGAGACGCTCTCTTTCCTCCAAGGACTCCTCACCAATGACGTCACCCCTTTCGAAGAGGTGGGCGGAGCCGCGCCGCGCGCGCTTTACGCACACGCCCTCAACGTCCAGGGGAGGTGCCTCTATGACGTCATCGCGTACAGGTGCGTACGGTGCTCTCAGCCGGGCGAGACGTGGCCGGAATGCGACGCCCGTCATCCGCCGCCATCGGCGGCAGGGAACGATGGGAGTTGTAGTTGCCCTCTTCCGCGGGCGAAAAGGGCTCGTTTCCCAGCTCTGGGAAAGACGGATGGTGAGGGCCACGTAGAATGGGCTTTGTAATACTTGCAATATGGGTTTTGTAGTACTGCAATAAATAAAATGGGTTTTTCCTTGTATTTTAATGTATTTTTATTTCTCAAGGCAAATGAAAATACAAGGAAACTCATTTGAGTTAGCCAGTGCAACAGTACTACGAAACCCATATTGCAACTATGACAAAATCCATTCCACATGACCCTCAGTGCCCATGAAAAGGAAAAAAAAAGACTTTCATGAATTCACTTTCTTGCTTTTTAGTTGTTTTGAATCATCTTTTTATCTTTTTTATTTTGCTGCAAGCCATTCAGTGTTGACATAGTTAGGTGCCCACTCCATTTTAACACTGATGATGTTACCTAATTGGGTTATGAAAGGGTCTGTAAAACAGCAACCAAGCTCAGAGAGTACCAAGGATCCCACCTCCTCCTCCTCCTCCTGCTCCTCTTGCCCACCAACCCCACTCCTAGCACTGAATGATGTTCCCCAGCTGGGTCATGAAAGGTCTGCAAGCAAAGCCCCAAGATCAGAGAATACTATGCAACCCCCAAGCACAGTAGCTTTTCATAACACAATTTGGGCTATGGTGCTGCAAGAAACGGCCTAAGATGTGTTGGAAGAAATATCCTTCTGGATTCAGTTCCAAGTGGGGAAAAAGAGACTGGATTCATGGAAGTTGCTTGGAAAGAAGGTTTATTGATGAGCAGGATAACATGGCTTGAGATCCTGGGCAGAAAAAGGGCAGAGATGCTGGGTTTTATGCCCTCTGTTGGGCTTTGAACTTCAGCCAGGCAGGGCTGTCAATATAATAATTTTAAATTGGGGTATTTTAATTTTTAGGGTTTTAAATCGGCCAAATCTGTTTAATTATTTTAATTTTTAATTATTGTTGTGTCTTGTGTTTTTAAATTGGCTGTACACCGCCCTGAGTCCTTCGGGAGAAGGGCGGTATAGAAATAAAATTATTATTATTATTATTATTATTATTATTATTATTATTATTATTATTATTAGTTTGTATGCTGATTGGTTGTCAGACTCCCATGGGGCCATGCAGAGGCAACTCTAGTCTGTCCTGAATCCCGAGCTTGGTTGAGCCTTGCTGGGTGATGATGTAATGAAGGTGCTTTGGGCAATTCCTATTATGGCTCTGCCTGAAGGAGGTA